CACATTTTTGCTAAATCGATTCTGAGTTAAATACAAATACTATCAAACGCAAAAACAAAAGGTTTGTTCCAACAACAATCAGAAACAGTCAACCAGGATTCTGCCCAGTAGATTATTAGAACCCCAAATTATATACTGCGCAGAATCCTGGTGTCAATGACTGAGTAACCAAACCCTATACAGAATTGCTCTGATTACATAAGTACGAGGGTGGATCAAAAAGTACCCGTGTTAGAAAGAAGGAGGCAAGTTTTTCAAAAAAAAATATTTCTATTTTTCAATGTAATCTCCTTTTAGTGCTATACACTTTTCCCAACGTTTCTGCCATTTATTTAACCCCTCCAAAAAATATGATTTCTCGAACTCCGCAAAATACGCTTCAGTCTCGACGATAACCTCCTCGTTAGAGCTGAATTTTTTCCTCCGAGCCACGTTTTCATGTTGGGGAATAGAAAAAAGTCGCATGGAGCTAAGTCGGGCGAGTACGGTGGGTGCGGCAGCAATTCGTATTGCAGTTCTTGCAATTTGACCGCGACAATTCTCGATGAATGTGCTGGTGCGTTATCGTGGTGAAACAGGACTTTTTTCTTAGCCAAATGAGGCCGTGTCTCCTTCGATTTTGCATTGAATCAGTCCAATAATTCACTATAGTACTGCAAAAAATCGTGGCCATGATCTTTCTGGCCGATGGGACCGTCTTTGCTTTCTTCGGAGCAGATTCACCCCGAAAAATCAATTGCTTCGACTGTCGTTTGGTCTTTGGAGTATAATAATGTATCCAGGTTTCATCAACGGTGACGACTCTATGCAAAAACTCCTGCGAATTTCGATTAAAAAGCTCCAAACACTGCTTCGACATTGACAACCGTATCCGCTGGTTGTCCACCGTAAGCAATCGCGGCACCCATCGGGCCGATACCTTTCTCATGTTTAACTTATCATGCAAAATAATAATTGCTGTTCCGTATGAAACGCCTACGGCCTCTGCTACTTCTCGCACTTTCGTTCGGCGATCTGCGACCATCATGTCTTGAACCTTTTTAACGATTTCCTCGGTAACAACGTCTGCCGGGCGACCTGGTCACTCCTCATCAAAAACAGATGTACGACCACGTTTAAATTCGTTGAACCAATATCTTACGGTTGTCATAGATGGTGAAGGGTCCCCATAGACAGCATCCAACATTGCTTTTATTTCATCGCATATTTTTGCATCCAAAAATAAAAAACGAATTACGGATCGATATTGTTCTTTTTCAATTTTATCGATTAATGCGAAACACGTATGGTACAAGTGGCTGCCAAATAAAAACCAACCTATGAATCAGTTTGAAATGTATGCACTAGTGTTACACTCGACACTGTATTCGAACTGTCATACTTGTCAAAAGAATATGCTACACGTGTTCTAAGTGCTACTGTCAAATATTTGAAGCTACACTGAACAAATCAAATGCGATTAGTGCAGAAACTTTACACCTAGTGCAACAAATAAAATCCGCTATTAGGCATTCCAACGACCTGTCCAAATGGCTACCAGTGGGTAATGACAGTTTAGATATGGCAACCCTTTTGTCAAGTTGTCATTAACAGGGTCAATGATACATATATAGTTATATAGATTGCTCAAAGCTGGTCGTTTACGAGCGGCCATATTGCCTGGCAAATATTTATTAATTTGAATCGGTTTAGCAAAAATGTGTTTTAAAAACCAATTATTAGCCTTTTAGATATTTAAAAAAAATAATTGCTTACATTTTTACTTAAAGGCATAAGCTTATGTTTATTTTGAAAAAAATGGATGATCAATCTATGTAACTATCTATTTCATTGACCTTGTCTAATCACCAGGCCTACAGGGTTGTCATAATTTTGCCATATCATAACCCGTCAAAACCCACTGGTAGCCATTCAGTTTGGAATGCCTAATTAGTATGGTGTCGTGTGACAAATGACAGTAAACGACAGTAATGCCAACTTCTCTCAGCAACGCCACCTGCCTTCAAACACGGGTACTTATTGATCCACCCTCGTATGTTCTAGTAAGTTATGGTAAGCTTATAAAGAATCCCCTTTAAAGATCAATAACTGGATAGGTCTATTGAAAATCAGACTCGAATATCTTTGAATCGATGTATACGGTATAGTACATAGTTTTATAAATTTTTGAGTAAGTAATTTCTATAAATTGCTTTATATTTTATCCATGCTTAGGATACGCTGAATCAACACCTGTTATTTACATCATGACATTTACGGACGCAAACAAACCAGAAAACATAAGAAACCAAATTAGTTGATTACCGAAAAATAAGAGGCCAAAATCTAGAAGCAGAAAGGCTCGCCTGATCCAGGGCTGGTATATCTAAGGGGGTCGCGACATAGACCCAGTAAATTGATGAGGGGGTGACTGAGGCTAGGGGGGAAATAGTAGTCAGCTTAAGTTGGCAACACTTTTCTGACGTTCGTTTGAACGAGCATCGTGCATAATAATGTCAATATGGTACAAGTGGAATGAACCACTGTTTTCCTCGTAGTCCAATGTCGAATTAAAACTAAAAACATTTTTTACTTTTTTATATACCAAATTATGCAATTTGTTTCCACTTTATTTTAATGTTACATGAATAGGTACATGCGTTTGTGCTGTGGTAAATAAGTGTTCATGTGAAAATTCTCTTAAACTACATTGTGATTGCACTCATCTCAAAACTGAATGCTGTAAATCCAGGATTTAAATCTTTCATAGTGTTGCTTGGGATAAATTGTAAAAAAGGTGTTGGACAAAACGTTTACAACCTAAAATTGAATGAAAAACATGACAGAAGAAGGAATTTTACCTTTATGACATTCTCTTTCAACATTTTTAAGTGACTTTGTGGTTTGGTGAATGGACTGTTACCACAGTCAAAAGATTCAAAGTAAAAATAAAGTGACCAAGTTCTAATAAGAATACATAAGTTGAATATGAAAATGTAATTACTTGATTTAAATGTGATTTAATTAAGAGTTAAATAGAGGTTTCATATAAACAAAGTGCTGTAAAATGTTAATAAATGCAAAACCATTATTAAAGAGAAATTAGTTATCATCAATAAGATATTTTGTAGTAGCTGGTCTCTATAAATAATAAACTTGAAAGACTGAATTAGTAGTCACTTTTACACTAGAAGTAAAAACAAAAAAAAAATGTGTGGTTGAGACTAATTTATGTATTTAATAAAAACATTTAACATAAAAGCAGGTGTTATTTGAAATGTTTTATTTTAGTTTAATAATCTTTATAAATTGTGGGTACATTTGATCCGAATCTTGCAAATACTATAAAATGCATATGCTTCTATTTAGTATTGGAGTAGAAGCACAAAAGTTTTGAATAAAAATATAGATACCAGAATATTTTGCTTGATTACTAAACTTTGGATGTTTTTGTTGTAGTCTGCTGTTAACACTATTGTCCTGAAATATTAAAAAAGCTAGACAAAGGTTTGTCCAACTCTTTTGTCAGCTTTGTTAATCTATGCTACTGTTATTCTGCATGCAGACATTTTTTACTGGAGATTTTCTCTAAGAACTGTATTCAGTTTCAAATTTCGGCCAGTTTTAGGAAAATACCTCTATTGTAAAGGTATTTCAAATCCATCCTTTGTAAGATGTAGACAACAAATACATGCTAAAATGTATAGAAAACAAATCGCAAGATATTACACAAAATTATTTAAATTAACTAAAAACATACAAATGAAGTGAATAATACCTACCAACAATTTAAAGACCTAAAATAAATAGACTTAAGGGACTGGAGCTCTAAAAAAGGGAGCAATAATTTGTTATGCATCATCTATAAGAAAATTGTCATCTCTTCAATTACCTTTTAAAATAAAATAAACTAAAACAGCACAAAATTGAAAGTGATCTACTTTTCCCGACGTATTTTATATACATCTGAGATTAATAATTTATTAAATTGAAATATTTTTTCCTAAAAAATATGGGCATTTTATTAGAGATGGGTTGCTTTTTAGTAAACTGCTATTTGACAACTGTTATTTGAACTAAGCAGCTTTCAACTGCTATCGGCTATTACAAATCGCTGCTTCTTAAATAGCAGTTTACCATTTTCACTAATATTTCGATTTGAGATACGCCGATCTTTGTGACTATGTTGTGAGTGCATGGTGCGCGTGATGCGACGATGACAATGGCAAGTTGCTGATGCGAATGTCGTATTTTATACGTGCACTACGGATGTTTATGTTTTTCTGTACAATAACAGTTATGGTTAGACCAAAAATGCTGTGCCCTCTTACAAATATTTTCAGCAAATAAATTTGTTTTAAGAAAATAACTCACAACACAAAACTTACCTCAGAGAGGACGTGATGGCATACAAAGACTAATTTTTTAATTGTTACCATTCCCGTTGTCGTCGATTTATTCTGACAATTTGGGGAACCACCGACACAGGTTGATATTTAACTCGACATTATAAGACAGCTTAACAGATTTGAACGCGATCACCGATCGACTAGTAAATAATGAAATACCGGTAAACACTTAAGCAGAGTAGTCGAACTACATGTTGCGATGATTTAATAAACTGCTATTAAAAAGCAGCTATTTGAAAGCTGCTTTTTAGAAAAAGCAGTTACTGTTATAACTGTTATTTAAAAATAGCAGTTTTGCCCATCCCTACATTTTATAATGGAAATGTCATTTAAGAAATGAAATTGATTTTTTTTTATATTGGTAAACCTGGCGACTACAAGTTGCCACGTTGCCAGATCAATGGCGACTACTATTTCGAAAAAAATGGCGTCCAAAATGGACTCCTATGTCGCGACCCCCCTTAGATATACCAGCCCTGGCCTGATCCTCAAAATTTCTTAGAAGTTGTTACTTAATTTTGAGAAAAAATTGCCATGCAAAGGCAATTTTTTATTAAATAAAATAAAAGGATGTATAAATAAAAAATAGTTTAATTTTAAATGATTATAAGATTGTTTTGGCAATTGTCACTACCTATCCAGTCGACATAAGAATGCATTTTTCGATTCGCTAACATCATTTCGAACATATTTATCATAGAATCCTACAACCACATTTTCAACTTTGAATCCGAACCTTTGATAAAGCAACAACACCGGATTGTTCATCGAAACATGTAGTGTTATATCTTTTCCCACGCTGGTCTAAAATCAAAAACTCCTTTATAAAAAATATCATTCACTGAAAAAGTACAAATAAGTTAAACAATTTCCCCAGATCTGGGGAATTTCAGGGTCAAATCGAGAAATTCGATCAATTGTAGAATAGCCTTTCACTCACGTGACTTCGATTTTTCCCTAAATCTGGGGATTTTTCGTAGACCGCGTCGGTGTGGTTACTTACTTGTATCAGATGGTAAATCATGAATTTGGCGATGCCGCAATTTCTCCAATAGGGCCTGGTAAACAAAAACGACAAATAGTTTTCCGTGTGACTGACGTCCGGTACCAAAAATGCGAATCCTACGATTAACCGTTTATATAACACCACGCAACTGAAGTCGGGATATTGCAGCGTTTCCGTCACTAAAAATGGTCGCCGTGAAAAATCTACATCCACATCTAACTCAAACCGATTTAAATAGACAATAATATGGTGTAATTAATACTAAAAACGAAAACCTGCATGATGAATTATTGTTAAGATTTAAAGAACATAAAAATTTCTTACGGTCAATTCCAGGCCAGAAAAACTGATTGCATAAGCTGTTTATAGCCGGTATATGTTCAGGCTGAACGTACGTGTAATCCAATGGTGCTCTAGGTGGCAAAAAATAATCAGGATTCGAGCTGTTAGCGGCCAATTGGATCTCGGCCATTAATTTCAACCAAGGCGGGAAAGTTTCTGCATCCCTTCGGATGTAAGGCTTCAGGTGCATGCCGCTGTAAGGCGAAAGGATGAGGTCTTGTCTGATGCCACCTGTTAGCTTATTTTGTAAGGTGATTCCTTTCATTCTGGATATATCTGGAAATTTGATATGAGTAAAGCTGTTTTACAAGGTGTCCCTAAAAGGCAGTTCACCCTAACTTACTTGTAGGGGTGACTCACCTTTAAGAGACAACCGGTTAGTTCTAAAAATGAATACTTACTGCTTAAGGAGGTGTTATAATGACAAAAAGGATTCAAAAGTCTAGAGACATCTTTCGGTTTTACATCTTCGGTTTTGCACTCTTGACTAGATTGGTCTGTATCTGGTGAACCAAGATTAAAATTTGTTAAATCGTCCGACAAGGCTGCCGTAGATGTTGCAAGCCTTAATAATCTGAAAATATAATTTTAAAGATTTAGGGATTCAACTGCGATTAAATGTATTTGAATTAACAAAAATTCAAAAAAACCAAGCATATAGTAGAATACCACAAATTGTAGATAGTGACTCATGTTGTAACGAAATTTTATAGGCCAATCAAATTAGACGTTTGCCCTGTTTACCCAAAAAAAGTTTTTTTTTTATAAGTCTATTCAGATTTCATTTACGAAGCGTCAAAACAATTTCTCCCATCCAGCAACAGCTCACGTGACATTTTTTTGCGCTTCTATTGGTTAATCGGTCGTTAGTCATTTAGACGACGCGCAAATATTTTTTGTCAGAGTCGAATTCAGTTCAATTTGGATAATTATAAACGGCGTTTTGGTAGCATTCACCGTGTTGGTTAGTTTGGACATTTTGTATGTTTGATTGATTATAATTCATTATATTATAGTTTAGATATACATATATTGTTATTTATTTTTGTGGTTAGTTTGAACATGTTTTACTCTATTTTATGGACATTTAATTGACTATATTTTGTAATTGCTGCGTGATACTATGTCCTCCACAGATACAGCAGATGAAGTCCAGAAAAATGTTTTTACTCCTTCTAAAAAGCGACTGAAAAAGGGACATCTGGTCATCCGTACTAAAGAAATGGTTCTTAATATTTATAAGCATTAAATTTTATAGAACCCTGATATGTTGGTACGTGATGTTGAAAGGAGATTTGCTGATAAAACAGGGATGTGCGCTAAAACCGTTTTTAATGTTATGAAGGAGTATAGGCAGATTCATAAATTTTCTGAACCAAAAAGAAAGCTACGTTATAAACAAATTAGTGGCTCTGTGGATGATTTTGATAAAAATGCAATAAGGCGCAAAGTACATCAATTCTTCTTTAGAAATTAACTTCCAACAATTGATAAGGTTTTATAAGAAGTCAACGATGATCCATATTTGTCTACTTTTAAGCGAGCTACATTTTACAAGCTTTTCAAAACCCTTAATTTTAAATTTAAAACTCGAGGAAAAAATAGTTTGCTTTTAGACAAAAATGAAATTGTCTCGTCATACGCCACAAAAAATAAAACGGTACAGAGAAGAAAAACAAAAAATATATAATCTTGATGAGACTTGGATTAACGCAGGCCACACCAAATCAAAAGTATGTTTTGATATGTCGGTTTTTTCATCCAGACAAGCCTTTTTGGATGAACTTTTAACTGGTTTTAAAAACCAATCAGGTATGTGCGTAAAAACAGCTCATTATATGCCATATTGGAAGTGAAGAAGGCTTTGTCTCTAATGCACTTTATGTATTTGAGTTGAAAAATCCGGAGACTACCATGAAGAAATGTGTGGAGAATCGTTCAAAGAGTGGTTTTCAAACACCCTACCAAAATTAGAAGATAACTGCATTATTATTTGAGAAAGCTGGAAAAAATATCTACGACGTCTAAAAAAAGGTGATATTTAAAAATGGCTATAAGGGAAAAAAATTGAATTTGACTACCAAATGCTTAAGATCCAACTTCTAAAACTTGGTAAGCAACATAAACATTATGATAGGTATGTAATAGATGAAATAGCTAAGCAGCAAAACAACATAATACTTCACATGTCTCCGTATCATTGTGAACTTAACCCTATTGAATTAATCTAGGTTGACGTTAAACAATACGTAGCAGATAAAAACTCAATATTTAAATCTGGAGACATTAAAATTCTTTTTGAAGAAGTAATATTATCAATTTCTCCAGAAAAATGGAAAAAGTGTATCGACCATGTTCGCCAAAAAGTTGAAGTAAAAATGTGGGAGTTGGATATTATAGAGGTTCAGGTAGAACCACTTGTAATTTTGATTAATGAAGATAGCCTTTCAAGTCTAACTAATTTATCCGATTCAGAATAGTGCTAAGTCAAGTAAGGAAGATTGCTATAATACAGGGTACAAGTTGTCTAATCTAAATACTAGTAGAACAAGAACAATAAAGAACAAAAGTTATTAAAAATACAAAAGGTTTCTTTAAAAGATGAAAAATTTTAAATCAAATACCAAAATTCAAATACCTCTTATATTTAAAGTTTTTTTAATGCTTTTAGTAGATAATAATATATAATAGTTTATTTGTCCTTTAGGATCATGTTACATGATATAGGATAAGTCATAATATATATGAATAAAAAATATTAAAATACAAATAAATATAGGTACAGTATACAAAATATATATATATATATATATATATATATATATATATATATATATATATATATATATATATATATATATATATATATATATATATATATATATACATATCTAAGACATGCACATTAAAAATATACAATTAGAAAAACATTTACCTTAAAATATGGTGGTATTCAGATAAATTATAAAAACATGAATCTACTAAATAGTTTTTAAGTTTTCTTTTAAAAGGTTCATATTTCTTTTCAGATTTAATGAAATCAGGGAGTTGATTAAAAAATTTAATTCCAACAAATTCAGGCGATTTCTCAAATAATGCTGTTGAATGTCTTGGTGTTCTGAATAAATTTGCATTCCTAGTTGAGTATTCATGATAATTTGAATTTTGTAAAAATTGGTGTATGTTGCGTTTAGCATATAGCAACGTTTTATAAATGTAAATACAGGGAAATGTTAATATTTTAAATTTTTTGAAGTTATATTTACAAGTTTGCATTAATTCTAGATTAAAAATAAGCCGGATTATTCTTTTCTGTAAGATAAATACTTTAGATTTATTGACTGCATCACCCCAAAGAATAATGTTATATTAGCTATTAGTACAATATAATTTTATAATATGATTGTTTTAATGCTCTGTATCACAGTAGACACATGTAATGAACTAAATATAATGCAACCATCTCTTTTAAAGTCAAATACATTTATTAATTTGTATTGCAGGTTAACCCAGTTTATGTCGCTCACCTATCTTCGTCCAGAAATGTCACTAAAGTCTGGGAGACCGTGTATGGCATTTATTTTATAGTTTTACTTTACAAAATATGTTTTTATCGTAATAAAAAAAAAATTCACAATTACACTCTTTTATTTTACATTTTTTCAAGACGGAAAAATAAAATACGGCCCTGCTCAATTTTAGAGTCCACCTGCTTCTGTTTACATCAGGCGTAAATTAAATTTGAATAGACTTTAGTTGTTGATTTTTTGAATAGCGACAAAAGCAGAAATATTCAGTATTAATTAATAAAAAAATTAGTGGGGTATTGCAAAATTTATTTAATCTCTTACAAATTTACAAAAACCTTTTTCTTCTACTCAATCTTCAAAGACTACGTTCAGATAGTTTCAAAAAAATTGAGAAGATCACTATCTTCATAAATTTTTATAATTTGACTGGTCTATTTTTAAACTGTTCAAACGTCTTCCAAGCGATTGGTAAAATGGAACGTTGTCAGCGTGTAGTTTGCCTCTTTATCTAACGGTAGATAATGTCCGAGATCTACACTGTCGTCGCAGATTAACGGGACGTTATTGGCAACAACGCCTTTGAATCTTGCTTGGATGTTATCATTGAAGCAATGCCATAGGCGCGTTGATAGGGATCTCATCAGCAGAGACCGGAATTGTTTGTAATAGAGAGGTTAAGTATAACTCGATCTCTCTAATATTAGTGGAAGGCTCTTTTATAAATAAACAAGGGATGAAACAAACGATATTAATACTTCAAAGGCTGAGACTAGAGGAAGAAAAAAAAATTGGAAGATATAACCAAACAAGTCATTCGTCGTGCAGTTCATGCATTTTATATTAAAAAGGAATTGCTAACTGTAAAGAAAATTGCTTCCTCACTTCATTCTAATGAAAATCTCCCAAAAATATCAAGACGTGATTTATTACGTACTTTGCGTGAAATAAATAAATATTTCAATAGTATCCTTATTGAAAAAGAGGAAATCATTTTATGGCGCAGAAAATATCTGAAAACAATAGCAGAGTTTCGAAGAGATGGCAGAAACATATATTATACAGATTAAACCTGTTTAAATGAAGGACATACTGTGACACAAATTTGGCAGGATTTAAATGTAAAAAACAAACATCAAGCTTCTGTAGATGGTTTATCGACAGGTTTAAAAGCCCCATCTGGAAAGGGAACGCGCCTTATTATTACCCATATTGGTAGTGACTCAGGATTTGTTGAAGAAGGTTTAAATGCATTTGTTTCTAAAAAGACTGGAGATTATCACGAGGAAATGTATGTGGAACATTATGAAAAATGGTTATCAGATATTCTTTTAAAAATCGAACCAGAATCTGTTATTGTTACGGATAACGCTCCATACCACAGCCGGCGTGTAGAACAGTTACCAACCACCAAATGGAGAAAAGCCCAGATTGCAGATAGGCTTACTAAGAAAAATATTAAATTCAATGAACCAATTTTAAAAATCGAGTTACTAAACAAAAGACTATTACAGTTTATAACAGGGATATACAAAAAATATACGAGCCCTGTCTCAGTGAAGTAAAAAATGTATATCCTATTTTCCTGACATTTTCTTAGATAACACAAGATCTATATTGATTATTTTTATGTAAATATGATTAAAAGTTCCAATGCATTATGATCGTTAATTAAACGGATTAGGTACTCACTTTCTGGAAGTTATCCCAAGATGTTTTGCATTTTTTCTTTTATGTCTTGATCTTGTATCCTAAAAATCATATTAGTTCAACTAAAATATATCATTTAGTTTAAATAAAAGATCTCATGTATCAAATTTATTTTAATTACCCCAAATTTTTTACTTTCTTCTACGATATCCATCGAATCATTTCCATCAGATTTTGTTTCTGCTTGAATTTGCATGCTGTTGACATTAAACGTTTTCAACAGTTCTTTATTTATAACACAACTGTGTAAAAGCCTAGAAAACAGTTCCGCGTCCGATACTGGTATCTCTTTTTTAAGTTTGATATTCTGTTTTTCGACCGCCATTAAAGAATATACACTCGAAATTGTTAATGGACTTATTTTCGGGTACATCAGTGTCCAAAAAGCGGGCTCATTGAACACTGTAATGCCCGATAAAAAAATATATTTGTTAAAATGGGAGAGTGTGCCCGCTATGGTGCCAGTCCATTTTTTCTTTTTCTTAAAATCGCTAGGAAAGAGTATTTCCCAATTTTTATCTATAAAAGTAGCGACGTGATGTCTCCAATGGAAGAAGCCTTTTCTAGCTAGTCCCGGGCTTTTATGTTGCAAGTGATATAGAACTAACACTATTATTTGAAGCCTAAAACGTTTGAAATAATACTTGCAGCATTCTATACAATTATCCATTGTAAATACTAATTTTAAATTGAATAATTAACTTACCAAGAGAGTCTAATTCTTACAAAACTTTCGGTATTATCGGATGAACATTCATAACAAATAAAAGCATGAAAGGTGTCTCCATAGAGACCTCCTGGTACTGAGCCTCTTTTCAAACATTTGATATGTATATAACATTTGCATTTTGTGCATTCTAGACCTTCGTCAGCTGATAATTCTAATCTATCACCACAGTTTTTACAAAATTTGTCTACGGTAAATGCTTCCATTTCTTATTTATATACAAAGACATAACCTCAAACCCCTGATAAAGTCAAATTAAAAAAAGAAGAATTATGAAATGAAGAATTAACACGAGTTCGACAATTCAAAATGGTGCAGGACAGGAGTTATTTTTGTTACAGACTGTGAGTAATTGCAACTGTAGCAAGGAACTATGCTAAATCTATCGTGTAAAGAGTATAAAAAAGGGGCTAGGGTTAGATAGACGAGTGTTAATCAAAGATCCAGGATCAAAGCCTTTTTGTTCTGTGTTCATTACGCAAAAGTTATCGAATTCGGCTCGGGTTTCGAAAAGAAACAGTGTTGCCAATTCGATTCTTCTAACGCTAAGAATTATTTTGACGTTTTTGTTGAATTGAGGTTATATTTATTTATTCTGATGAAAAAATGTCAAAACAAAGATATTAAAAATATTAGAATTGGTTAGTCAGCAGGGTATACGTGTCAGGATGAGATAAAATATATAGTTCAAGGGTTTCATCAGTCTTTCTAGTTTTTTATTTGTAACGGCTGTTTGCCTTTATTTATTTGAAAAATGTTGAAAGCAGTGATTTTAATAGGCGGTCCACAAAAAGGTACTAATATACAAATTATTTTATTTTTTGTTTAATAAAAATTATTTTTAGGAACCAGGTTTAGGCCTCTATCTTTGGATATTCCAAAACCTCTTTTTCCTGTAGCTGGCTTACCGCTGGTACAGCACTTGATAGAAGCATGCCTTGCAATTGAAGGACTAAAAGAGATACTGCTCATTGGTTTTTACTCTTCATCACAAATACAACCTTTCGCCAATGAAATGCAACACCAATACAATGTAACCATCAAGTAAGTATGCCAAAAATTTAACTAATTTATTATTTTTAACTTTTACAACTTAATGAGTGGATTCCAGATATCTCCAAGAGTTTATAGCTTTGGGTACAGCAGGTGGGCTGTATCACTTCCGTGATCAAATTCGCTTTGGGAATCCAGAAGCATTTTTCGTCATCAATGGAGATGTGTGCTCTGATTTTCCTTTGGCAGAACTTTATACGTTTCATAAAGAACAAATGGTCAATGAAAAAGCTCTGGTAAATATTACTTTTTAATTTTTTTTATTTATTTATAGTACACTACACACACTATTTAAGTATTTAAATGAAAAGGAAGAAGACTAGAAACAGATAATATCTATTAAAACATTAATTAAAAATAATAAGATTTATGATGATATAAATTTAGTCGCATGAGATACAGTTAGGTGTTGTATTTTCAGAGGATTTTACAAAAGGGTATTCAAACATGTTTTAAAACTGTTTAGCATAAATAGGTGAAATGAAAAATACATTATCCTTGTAAAAAAATATATTAACAGTATAAAAGGGAAAATTTTGACTAGTATGAAGGTAAAGTTAGTTGAAGTAAATTAAAATGTATTTTATAACTTGATCACTTTAAGTGAAAATATTGTTTATTTTACGTTTTTATTTACGGGCAAGCCCATTTGAGTTACACTAAATTGTTAAAAATAATTTTGGTGTATTTTGAATGTTGTGCTTAAATGTATTTACAGAATAAAATATAATATCCAGAGAGTTTGCCAATCTAAGTAGCCAAGGAATACAACTGTTAAAAGTACTATCAAGTCTATAAAAAGGAATAGAAAATATTTGTGATTGCCTCTATGTTTTCTTTTGGTTTTCAGAGAGGGTATCTTTAAAAACTGCTCTTTTGTAGTATAATCATAAAACGTTTGTAATTTAAAGGCTATGTACCTAAAATAATTGTTTTGAACACGCTCAATTTTTAATTTTTAAGTTACATGATGTGGGGACCATATAGAAGAGCAATAATCGAGGTCCTAACTAAAGTCAATAAAGAGTTTTAATAGCAGTTACATCAGTAAAGTCACGGGTCGTTCTTTTAATAAATTCTAATATTTTCATAGATTTACTTATAACAAGAGATATGGTGGTTAAGGCTAAGAGTTGTGTCAAAAACAGTGGCGGTTTGCCCGTAAGGGCACTTGGGCACGTGCCCTAGTATAATAAACAAAAAAAAATAACTTACATATTTTATTTTTTCCTCAATGCCTATTATTAATTTATCTAATATTCAGCGCAAACCGCGTTGGCACGACACTGGACGACCGGGCGTTGAACGACGTTCCGAGTATTCCGAAATTAAGTGGAAGATGGGCCCAGTAAATGTGTGCCTCTGTTGTTTTCTCTCTCATTACGATGCGAAAAACAAGGACAATATCGCTTAGCAAGAGATGAACACATGCGATGGATATTCGTCACAAGTGGGGCGCTGTCCTCATCGTGACGCTGTACCCATGGCACAGATTACCTAGACCAGATACGAATGTACGCAGCGGCATCTTTACCGGCTCCCTCACAAAGGCGATGCTGGTTTCGGCTTAAGATGCACGTTTGTTGGACCATGATAATAATTTATTTATTGTGATTACGAAAAAAACGTTAGTTGGACCATTGGAATAGTTAAGAAATAAAACTGCAAAGAAAAATACCTTTTTTTATAACGCAGTCAAAAATATGATGAAAAAAAAAATCAATAATATTTATAAATGGGACAAAATTTTTCTTTTGGTTTTGTCCGATTTTTTCGAGGATTTCAAATCTCTTTGCATATTTAAGAGTATAAAAAATTCTGAGTCTTATAAATAATTTAATGGTGTACATTTTCGCAAATTGTTGGCAAGGATGACCAAATTCTATTTTGCTCATTTTAAAAAGGTATGCGTTGGAAATTCCATCCTAAGTTGACAAACTATCAAATAGAGACATAAATATTTTTTCTAATTTGAAAATATAAAAGAAATTTTTCGCTTGGAGATTTTAATTGCCAAACACCTTTTCTTCAGAGTCGTATGCTTTAAAATGCGTTAACAAGTTAGAATTGTTAAGTAAATTGCATTCTTCTGAGAAATTTACGTAAATTTTGCAAGAGTGGATATGTAATTATTTTTTGATTAAATAGCGACATACATAGTTAAATGCATTTTGACTGGTCACATTTAGCTCCCTGTAGTCACATTCAGAAATCGTTATTGCCCCAACTAATTGTTTTGAAATATATTTAATTTTCATTAAGCGGAGAACTTGTTTTCCTAAGGGAAAAACGAATCCCGGGATTCCTTTCCAGTGTGTGCCCCACTGCCGCTAGTGCCCACGAGCCGCCACTGCTCAAAAATAACTTTAAAGCCTCTAAAAATGGTTTAACATTATCTAAAAGTTGATCATTGATAGTGTAGTCAAATATAGTGGACTGTTGAGAACATTGGAACCGAATAATGTGACATTTTCCCACATTTAAATCCATTCCGTTGTATTTTCACCAATTGGATAAAATAAATGATTAATATCAGACTGTAAATCAATAGCATTTCCAAAGTTGACAATTTGGCTAAATTTTAGGTCATCTGCAAAAAAATAAGAAATTTAGTGCCGAAAACAGAAAGTTACATTGTTGACAAATAAATTAAAAAGAAGGGTCCCAGATGGGAACCTTGGGAAACTCCAGAAGTAACAGAGTATTGATGAGAATGGTGACGTTTTACTTTGACTATTTGAGTTCTATTAAGAAGATAGCTATTCATCCATTACAAGAATATGCCACCTAAACCAAATTTACCCATTCATGAAAGTTAGCATATGCAACCAAGTTCAATTTTGTTGACTTGCACTCACGAAAGCCAAATTGTTGCAGTTATGATACTAGCGCAGTCATAAGTAGTCTGTTATGATGCTTTCAAAGAGCTTTGGGATTAAGCTAATTTTAGATATGATACGGTAGTTTTCAATGTAAGATTTTTTACCGGACTTGTACTTATATTGGTGTGACATAATGAGAGTTTCCAATAATCATGGAAAATCTCCTATTTTCAATGATTTATTAAAAATAAAAAACAGATGATGAGATAATATAAAGCTGAAGTTTTACTTAATAAAATTGGAAACATTACCTCTGCATCTATAAAATAAACTATATTTACTTTTAAACTCCAAAATTATAAAAGATTTCCTATTAAAAAAATCTATGTTAATATCTGCATATAAGACATAAGATATAATTGTCTTTATCATTAAAGTATTTATGCAAAAATATATATAAACTACACATGAAAGCATTCACAATAATTGTTGACTGTCCTGTATACACATGACACATGCAATGTAAGTAAAGCATTTTACCAGTGAGTCTTTTAGTTTTGACAGACACTTCAAAAACTTGTTCTCTAGAGTGTGAGTGTGTAAATGGAATCGGTTGGATGTTTATATCATCTCTTGCAAATATACAGACCCCTCCTCTGGATATATTCTTGAGAGCCTAATAATGTTATTGATACTTAAAATTATGGATGTTTACCATGTTCAATTCCTCTTCTTGTAGCCAGTGTTCACTTAAACATTGTATATCTACTTGTTCTTCATCCAATGTTATACTTAGGGAGTCAAGTTGTTACAAAGTTCTTGAATATTGAAGTGCACTACAGTAAGATTTTTCCTACCTGATTTACTTACAGAAAAGATGAAGGCTGGTTGTCTTTATCAGAATTTGTTACACCATTTCGTTGATCTAAAGATTTTTTTCTTCTTCTAAAACCAAATCTGTCGAAAACAATCTTTCTGGGGCAGAAATTAGGATCATAGATAGACTCCAATCATAAATGATTGATTATTCCACAGCGTGTTTTGTGTATAATCAATACTTTATACAAATAATTTACCCATCGTTATTATTTTCACACAATTGATAAAAAAAAAACACAATTTAAATTGCCTATGGGATTTATAATGTATTTTCCATTTGTTTGGAATGGTTCTAAGGGAAACTGTAAAGTGGCTCCCTTTGGATAAGCCTTGGTTCTTAATGGTCGATTTGTTAATAGTTTGTTACAACATGGAAAACAATTTTTAGGTTACTATTATGGGTACAGAAGCCACTCGTCACCAGTCTCTGAATTACGGTTGCATTGTCACCAACAAAGAAACGAACGAGGTGACCCATTATGTAGAAAAACCCAGTTCTTATGTTTCAACGTTAATAAATTGCGGCGTTTATGTCTTTTCACCAGAAATCTTTCAAACCATCGGTGCAGTTAACCTCAAGCAACAAGAACATTACAGGTTTGTTGTAATTTATTTTTTTAAAAATCCTTTTTTACAATATAATTAAATTTTCTTGCACGGTATCTCAACTGATTGATGCTTGAAGCAACGAGAAAATTACTAGTCCGGCATTTTTAAATGTGTTCTTTTTTTATGACAGAAACGGCTACAGCAATGGTACCAAAGAAGCCGGCTACATACAGCTAGAACAAGAAATCTTGGCACCTCTAGCAGGAAGCGGCCAAATTTTCGCGCTGCCTGTCACCAATTGGTGGTCGCAATTGAAGACAGCTGGTTCAGCGATTTACGCCAATCGTCATTATCTTCAATTGTACAAAACGAAGCATCCGGAACGATTGTACAACTCGTCGGGGGCTGGCGGGGAGACTTGCATGATTTATCCCGACGTCCATATCGATCGTACGGCTCATATTCATCCGTCAGCTGTGGTAAGTTAAATCATATCTATCTTTTGTCCTTGTTATTTATTGAATGCTTCTATTACAATACAAATTATTATTAATAAAGATAAGTAAGCGGATAAACCGATGAGACTGAACTAACATTTAAAAGTCATGTTCATCAACTACAACATACATATCAACACATCATAAACAGAATACATCACAGTTTATTACAAAAGTTATGCGTTGTAGTGGACTAGAATGTGTCGAGCAGTTTTCAATTCTTCATCTAGGAGATTCATAAACTGATTAAATATAGTGTCCGCTTGCATGTTGTTCCAAATGTTCCACCCAATTATAGTTTCTTCTTTGGAGTTTTTTTCAATGTGTTCTATACTGATAAACATTCAAAATATGTTTAAGATTAACTCCAATTAGTCCATTTTGTACGTTTCTATCAGGTCACCTCTAAGTCTACGTTCTTTATGCTTTTAGAGCTTTCCTAAGTAACTACAGCTCTGAAGTTCTGGAGAGATTATAGTTACCTTCCTTTGAACTTTTTCTATGTCTTTTGTTGAAGATATGAGTCTAATTTGTTAAATAAAGTTAGCACTTAGTCAATATCAGTTAGGCACTTTTATATTAGATGAGTTGATTTTTAACTGCCATTGAAATGGCTACATATTTGAAGTATACGAACCCAGAAGTCAAATTTCCGGAGGGTATTTGTGCCGAATTAGTAGATACTGTAGATTTTCGGCTCAAGTTGCTACGTCCATATTGAAAGTGAAAAAAGAAAGAAAATATATAAAAAAGCTACCAAGGGATATCTTTAGGTTATGATGGAGACGAAAGATATAGAATTTGGGTAAAAGAAACTCAAAGGGTTGTTCTGTCTCGAGATGTACAATTTCAAGAGAAACCAGAAGAATGTTCCAAGTGTACAATTTAAAAAGAAACAAAAATAATAAGGAATAAGAAGAAAAAAAATCCACAGAGTACATAAAATTGTCATTAAGAGATTTTCAAAATACCAAGAAAGAAGGGTATCAAGACAATGAAGAAGAATATCAAGAAAATCAAGAGAATTTAGGAGATGAAGAAGCTTTAGAAGAAAGTGTTGACAACGAAGAATATTCCGAAGATATGCTAACATCTTCTAAGAGATAGATTAACATTAAGAAAGCCCGATTTTTTCGAAGAAATACTCTTAATTATTAGAGGATTTTGTTAATACAATTAAAACTCCATAAACTTATGAAGAAGCAGTCAACAGTCACCAAAGCTCAGTGGAAAGAAGCTATGAAGAGTGAGTTGACGTGAAAGCTTTACCATGTAGATGGGTATTTAAAGTCAAGTCTAATCTAGATGGTAGCGTAGATAAATTTAGGGCCAGATGTCATTAAGGGTTTTAATCAGAGTCAAGGCCGAGAATACCGATCAAGGAGAAGCGACAGTAGCTGTCGGTGCCTTTGATATCGGAGGGACCTTTTTCACAGCATGACTTTGATTGATACACAACTTAGCACGCTGAGAAAACATGCTTAATTTCTACACTGAACGAAATAGTTTGGCAAATTATCTGAAATCATTGTTATAGTCCATGCGCAAATGTTCTAATGTGATTCAATTACATTAAAGTAGATAGGGTTAATAGCAATGGTAAGATTTCGGCATCATTATGTAATAATTAATTATTTGTTATATAAATAAAAGACGTTTATTATTTTATTATTTATCTATAAAACTTGTTCAATATTTGGTTTATTTTTTGTTCAAAATGTAATAAAAGCCTCATATTTAAATTAAATTATCTTTTCTTTAAGTAAAAATAAAGTAAATAAAATTACGGGTACCAAAAAAATTAAGTAACAATTAAGAAGACATTAGGTTTGAGAGTTTAAATAAATATTTTCAAAGCATTTAGGATAAAAAAGAATTATGTATTAAGGGTTGGATAGCTGACCTAGCTATCAAACAAATTTTTAGAAATTACTTATTTAAGTAATTACCAATATTTTCAGAATCAAATCCAGTATGATTCATTCATTAAATGTAAATATGAATATACAGAGTAAGTTAAAATGGGAAAAACATTCTTAGATTGGCATAATTGTAACTTACAATTTAGCAATAATAAAGGTGTTTTGCCAATTTTGACCAATCACAACTGAAAATACTGAAAGACCTTCCTCAAGAAAACACGAATAATTATATTTTTTTATTTAAAATATCAAAATAAAATAAACAAAATCAGCAGTTCATAGTTTATTAAATTGATATAAAAGAAGACACTCATATATTTCACAAAATAAATCATTATACTTAATGTCGTGAACCACCTTAAGCCGACTCTGATCCCCTTTGCCGTTGGAGCTATCGCTTCGTCTGTTTTTATACCGCACGACAGAGACAAACGCACTCCTTCGAAAAGCTACCAGAGAAATCGTTGCGCGGCGGCTGAGTCATATATGAAGAAATTCCAGTTTCTAAACGGTCGAGAATGTTCTAATGCAGAGCTGGCTTTATATAAATAGCGCGAGTTTGTCACTAGATGTTAAGTTTCAATGAAAGTGTGGTATAGTAAAGACGAATTGTAATAATTAAATTAGAATTGTTAGTTATAATAGTGCCTAATTATTAAATAAATTAATTAGTACGTTATAAATAAATTATAAATAAACTATAAACTGTTTTTAATTAATAAACTATTTTTAAATTAAACAAACGTTACATTGATAGTTAAACATGTGATAAAATTTTTAATTTTCTAATAACTTTTTTGGCACATTTTGTATCTGTATTAGAATATTTAAGTGTGTAAAAAATCTTCATTCGTATAAACAGTTTTTTTATATACACAGTTGGAAAATTTTTGCAAGGATGATTAAAACAAATATTTTCTGTTTTGCTAAATAAAACATTTGAAACAGCTTTTCCTTTACAAATTATATCAAAATATGAGTTAAATAAACATTCTAATTTATATACAAAATGAATAAAATCTTCAGGCGGTGACTGAAGATTTCCACAAAAACTTTGGTCATGGCTATAGGCTTTAAAATGCATCAATAAATTATTAATATTAAGTTCGTCACAGAGTTTTCCAAGGTTTTTGCAGATATCACATGCGTGTACTTCTAATGCTTTTTTAAGTAGGTAACCACAGACATAACTAAAAGCATTTTTGGTGGTTAGAGTTTCTTTTTTATAATTATAATCAGGAAGAACAAGCGCTTTAGGGGTTACGATTTCTTCTGCCTCACTTATAATCTTAGTTACATCTGTCTGTTTAACATTCATTAATATTTCATCAAAATCATCAACACAGTTCATATGGTTGGAATGAAAATAATTTTGGCAAAATAATTTTCGAAACGCTCTTTGAAATTGGATGGGCGTTGGATTCACATTATTTCCACCTTGTTGTCTTATGCAGCCAAAACAATTTTCAATACAATCTGTATTTAATCTTCTTGTTTTAATGTACTGGTAACCTAATTTGGAAAGTTTTTCCCACAATTTTAGTAAACTAATTATTGTTATTACCCAACATTTGTTAAATTTTACCTTGTTGGTAATATTTTGGTCATCTTTATTAAATATTTGTAAGTCTTTTAGAAACAAAAGAGCCCGTGCTAAAAATTCTTTTTGAAAATCGGAACCGTCAAATACATTTTTAAATTTATTGGAATCTCTTAAAGAAAATGAATTGAGGATATCAAACAAATTATTAAAACAATCTATACATTCGATAGTACCAATAGACTCTGCGGGTATAGCGTTTAAAGTTAGATATATATTCATTCCGCTAGCTACCGTTCTGCTAATGAGTTGTGCAGCGAAACTTACTCTCATTTTTTCAAAACTTGAAGGATTTATATGGGAGCTAGTAAGTTTGGGTGCACAGCGGTAAAATTGTTTTTTATCTTGCTCATAAAAATATTTAATAAAAGACCAAGATGTTTTTTTACCACCGAAACAAAAAGAATGCTTTAATAAATTGTTTCTTGTGGCTTTAAGCAAGTGACAGGGATCAAAAATATAAAGCAAACTTTGGCCTCCGAGCTGAAATTCTGGGTTGTCTGGTGTAACTCCAAATAACTTTGCCAGTTCAATAAAGTTTGAACCCATATCACTGGCAATGCCCTCAACATAAAAACCAATACTACATAATTTGTTTATACATTCTTCGAAAATCGGCCGAAGATCTTTGGCCTTCATCTGTGTGCCAACGAAAAAATATGCTATCGGTTGTTTCCAAGGGGAATAAAGCCCTCTAGCCATAATAACTAGTGCGTTTTTACATATCGCATCCCCTTTTTTTTCTTCCCCAATATCCTCAAAACCCACAATTTCATCCCGTCCCGTATCAAAATATAAATTTGATTTTAACGACATTTCGTCTACACACAGCATACAATGTCGGTCTTGTTTTAGCATCGTTTTTAATTTTAGTTCAAGTGCTGTAAATATAGAACTATGTTTTAAACCAGGATCTGAGTTAGTCTTTGTAAACTCCTTTTGCATGGAAGAGTTAGGAGTTTGCAAAGGTATTCGTAGGCTTGGGGGCTTAAAAAATACAATGTTAAGGCAAATTGCTTCATATCTGCCGAGTACCTTCAGGATATGGGTTTCTTATTCTTTAAAGAAGCATGAGATTTTACTATTTCCGACAGTTGCTTACTCAAAAAGCTATCACACACTTTATTGAAATCTTCAAGAGTCCAATTCATACCATCATTCGGTGAATTATTTTTTTTATTGTGTATCCTTTTTCTTAATTTTCTTAATTTCATCCTTAACTTATGTTTTCTAGGTGAACGACTACTTAATAGTGAATCGGTTTGTGTCGATCTCGGCACAAATAGCGGTGGGATATTAACCTTACCTAGATCCGAACCAAACCCTTGATAGGTATTTGGACCTAAAAAAATATTTTATTACTATAAAAAGTGAAATATTATTAGAATACCCCAGTTTGTAGGGAAATTTATTGTATTATGTCACGAAAAAGGTGCGTTTAAACTTATCATGAAGATTTTGAAAATAATGGTTATTTGGCAAATGGAATTAAGTGTGTATATAAAGAGATAACCATATTAAAAAATTTGATTTTAAACTATTTTTAAGTAACTTACCATCAGAAAGTAGGGCTTCTTCTCCAGGTGGGAATGATTGACCAGGAGCCAAGGACCTGTTGGTTATGTCAGTACGAGCAGGGACAACTACAATATCTGAAAATATGTTAACATTTTATATTACTTAATCAATATTTATATTAATGAATAATTATTATTACTATTATTTAGAACAATATTTTATTAAAACAAACCTGACAATATAATATTTTTTTTAGGAGGCTCTCCTGATTCTGCATAATTTTTATCAGGTATTTATTTCTTTGTTGGAGGAAGGTTGAGAAACTTTGTGGGTATTGCTTTTGGTAATAGGATTTTTCTTGTAGGGCCGCCTTTTAAAAAATATTTTCCTTCAAAATGATTTTCACAAACCCGATAGTTTTTGTGGACATTCAATATTTTCGGTAGTAAATCTTCCCTACTGCAAGCTTCTATCCACATTTTTGCACTAAAATTTTTTTTTTATTGGGTAAATACTAGACTAAACAATTATCAATATTACTAAAATATGATGAAAATAGTGACGGTGGGGTATGTTTGTACCCCGAATCGTACTAAGAGGGATGCAATCTATTGGAAATATTTTTATCATACACAATTATAATTAATTAATTAATAATGATATTTACCGTTCGTAGTCCTTCGGAAAACTAAATAAACTTAATCCTTGGCCGGTTTTGGACGAACAAGAACGGTATGCACAAAAATATCCAGATACAGACATTCTATTACAACACCAAAAAAACACCAAAAAATATCACATAACAGCTCACAGACTAAACACAACTTGGACTGAGTTTGACAGATAACATGACATTGAGTGATACACAACTTATTTTCGCACATGCGCGTATCAAAACGGTACCCTGAAAACACCAAGCTGTCGCTTCTCCTTGATCGGTATTCTCGGGTCAAGGTATTGGCTATAATCAGACATTTAGTCCGGTAGCTAGACTGGGCACAGTAAGATCGATTTTAAGTATTGTAGCTAGTGAAAGAATGAGTCTAGATCAGTTTGATGCATCCACAGCAGTTTTATATGGAGAGCTCGAGGAAACAATTTACATGAATCAGTCAAGCGATTATACTGGTAGCACCAATAGAGTTTGTAAACTTAACAGGATCCTTTACGGACTAAAGCAAGCTGGAACAGACGTTTTGGGGGTTTTCCAAAAAAGCTGGGCTTTATAGTAAGTGAAGCCGACCCTTGCCTTTATTTGAGAGAAAAAGAAGGTAAAAAACTCTTATTGGCATTGTACGTGGATGATGGTCTAACTGCAGCAACTGATTTGTGTGATCTAGAGGATTTCTTGGCTTAGCTCCAAATAGAATTTAAGATAACCACAAAATCTACAGAAAATTAGTAAAAAAGCACATGCTAGAAGAATTTTAGAACGTTTTAACTTTTTAAATTGTAAACCAATTTCGACGCCTAATCAGGGAAAGTCAGAGAAAAAGCATAACTTTCCATACAGGCAGGCAGTAGGGGCGTTAATGTATTTAATGCTTGGTACCAGACCCGATATAGAATATGATGTAGGCATTTTATCCAGAAATTTAGAAAATCCATCCTCAGAAGACGTAGTACCTAAGGGTCAAGAGAATATTTCGGTAATTAGCAGATACTCTTGACCTTGGTATAATACATTCGTCATATGTAAATAAAAGAAATTTGGAATGCTATAGTAACGCAGATTTTGGAGGATGCACAAAAACAGGTAGATCAACTACTGGGGTGGTTGTAACTTATGCAGGTGGTGCTATATCATGGCTTAGTCAAAGGCAGGTAAGGTAGCTACATCAACCACAGAAGCGGAGATTGTCGCAGCTAGCGAAGCAACGAAGAAGGTGATTTGGTTAAGCACGTTATTTAAGCAAATTATAACTCTGCAGCAGTGAAACTAACTCAAAATCCTGAGTTTCATCGACGAACAAAACATATTACAAAACATTTCTTGTCAATTAAGGTATTTTAGAAGTTGAGCAAATTTCAACAGAGCTGCAAGTGGCAATTCTACAAAAATGGGTCTAACTTTAATTAACAAGGGAAAGTGTTGAAGATACAAGTTTAATTTGTTAAGTCAAGTTATCACTTAGTCAATATCAGTTAGGCACTTTTATATTAGTTACGTTGATTTTTAACTGTTGTCAATTTTTGATAGGTATATTTTAATGTTCCTTCACTTTAAATAAATCTTTTTGAACACACGTACTGACGGAGCCTTATTTCCACTGGATATATCTCACCAACATCTTTAACAATTTGTGGGTTTCAAACTGGCATTTAATATTCTATTTTTGGTCTAATATAATTTTGGCACAGTTTGGAAATAATTTTCTTTGAAAGCAACTCTAACTAGTATGTGTCTGGTCCAGATACTATTTGTTACTACAAGATCTCTTTGTAGGACTTCTCTATTTATGGGGGTATTTATAGTATTGGTCAAATCACTAATATTTAGGAGGAATAAAAGTGGTCCCAACACAGAACCCTGTGATAATCCACAGGATGATTGATACTTGACCATTACCTCTCGACACAGAATTGCCTATTCATTGAAAAGCTCTCAATCCAATTAAGTAAATTTCCTTGTAGCCTAGGTATATTATTACATCTGTAGGTTCAACATTATGTAAAATATTATGAGTACGCCTTTGGCTACTAAAATATATTGTGGAAATTTGTTTTAATATTAAGGAAAGCGCGACATGTGCAAATTGCGGAAATCAATCGAAAATGTGTGGCGAGAGAACAAGATTTTGTATGGATGAATCATCGTAGTTGTTACAACAAACATTTGTTGTCTTGAATTGCATTATTGGGAGGTCGCGGAGATTAAAACGAAAATTTCAGCATTCCATTACACATACCTGACATTTTTTTAATGCTTATAAGTGACGGCTTCAATTATACTGACTGATTGCCCTTTTTAGCTAGGACCAAACGTCAGTATAGGTCCGGGAGTGACCATAGGTGCCGGAGTTAGAATCAGAGAAAGCATAGTGTTATCCGACGCCACCATAGAGGATCACAGTTTAGTTTTGCACAGCATAATCGGCCGTGGATCGCACGTGGGAAGATGGGCGAGAGTCGAGGGTACCCCATCAGATCCCGATCCCAATAAACCGTTCGCAAAAATGGAGAATCGACCATTGTTCAATAAAGATGGCAGATTGAATCCGTCAATTACCATCTTAGGTCAGTTTTGTGGTACTTTTTAATGTTTTAACATTTTAATTTCTTCTGATATTTTAGGTTGTTCTGTGAGCGTACCGGCCGAAACCATTTTGTTGAATTCAGTGGTGCTTCCCAACAAGGAATTATCTAGAAGCATAAAGAACGAAATTATTTTATAGTTGGTAACGGCAGGGACATACGAGCACAAAACGATTTTATTTACAATGACAGTCAATTTAATTGAAAACAGGAAAAAAAGATTTTTATTTGTACAAAAATATTTTATATATTTTATTTTTTAATTTGTAATCATTCCAGACTGATGTGTAACATATAAGTAACAAACATTGTTTTATTTAATTCCTAATTTACATTTAAAAAGATATTTGCAGATCCCTGTGGAGTGGGGAAAGAAGAAGGATAATAGACATGAGCCTTCGAGCCCGTTTTATATCTTTGTGGTAAACAAATTTAACAAAATAAATAATTATAGTTTGGTGAAGTAGTTGAAAGTTGAACATCAAGGTTTAATTGGTCAAAGACCGACAGCAGTACTAAGTAGTATTTTATTTATCAAGTTCTACACGTTAACAACCAATTATCGAACATGAGTATACGAATGAATATCTATATACAGGATATAATTCAATAAGTTACTTTAAACAATAGATATATTAGGTTACTACGAGCACAGGCCTTTATGTAAATTGATATGGGAAATGGCTAAGCTCCATTCTGGCAATTTTTTGTCTCTTTCAAGGTCACATGTCGAGGTTATCAGTAAACATGATAACGTTAGCTCGCAGTTAGGTAACGTCTGGAATCCAAGATGACAGGCATCGTTGACGTGAACAATGAAAAATATATAAGGTAAACGAAAAAACAAATTCAAAAGGCATTAACGTATATCTCCGTTATTATTGGTCCGATTCAAACGGGATAAACGGCATTGTGAAGGAGGCGTTAAATAGACTAACTCTTTTTTAACGAATGTGAATATTGTCGCACTTCAAATTTTTCGAGTACGAGTCCCGTCAGGATGAAAGAACTCACGAGTACCAATTACTCAGTACTTTGAGTACGCACGTACAATTTACTCGAGTACTGCCCAGCTCTGCCTGGTGCCAATTACAACAGAATGCCCGTCAGCACGGGAGGTCCAACTAACAACGATATTTTGTCGCTGCACCAAGGATTGTGATAGTAGCTGTTATGTTTTCAGTTGGTGTAAGGGAATAAAACTACTAAACTTGTAGGCACGTTTTTTATTTCCCTCCTTAGAACGAATACCACATAATTACATCATTATGTACGCGTCATACACGCCGTTACCGCAGTTCGATACAGTTTTACAGACAACCATAACGTTCGGAGTCTAGGAGAAGAAGGTCGTGTGATTTGTTCTTCTACCAGTGGTCTTGTACCACGCATGTCCCAATCTTTCAGGAAGTAGTAGGTTTACAGCGGGAACTATGAATCACAATTCCTCCTTTCTTAAGTTTAAATAATAAATTTAACCTTTGCCGTTGTTTTCTCATCCTACTAGATTTCCGATAAGATTGAGAAGTTTCCAATATAGGTTCTATGTTTACAGTATCTAAAATTCATCCTCACTAGATATTAACAAATTATCATTACATAAAGAGCCTTGTGCTTCAATACAGAATTTGTTAAAATCATCTTCAAAAATATTTGCTACTCCTGATACATTAAAATTATTCTCGTGATCTAGGCTAACCTCTCTGATATTCCTACATATACAATTATCTATTAAAAAATTACAAACATCACAAAATATCACTTGGCGATTCGCTAATGTGCTTGGTTTTACCATAATTTCTACAATTTGCCCTAAATTTTACTGATTATCAACTTGCGTTGATATATTTTCATTATTTTGAAATTCATTACAAGCAATACGATTTGCTATAACATACTTAGTAAAATTACTATTAAACTGTTCATGGTTTTCTATAGTATTGCTACTATCGTCATAATTACTATTATAAACAATCTTACTTTCTACCATCCTTCTGTCCTCCTCTTTACCGTGTCTTCCGTACCTCTTTGCCACCTCTTTCAACTTCCTTAACTGATCTACATGCCTTTTCCAAATAGATCCATCCTGCAATTTACATAAATACATGCTCTTACCTACTCTTTTCTGTACTTCGGCCTTTAACCATTTATTTCCTCTTGCTCTATAGTCCTTAACCAATTCATTTTCTCCTATTCTACAACTTTTCATCTTTCTCCCCCTGTTGTGACGATTACCTTCATGGTTTTTCTCTGCGACGTGGCATTTTCCTTACTTGACTTAGTTGGTTCTCAAATTTCTTCCAAACATCATTTCTGCAGGGGATTTCCCAGTGGTACCATGTTCTACATTCCTACAGCTAATCAGAAAACGAGCAATTAGTATATTTATACCTACATCTTTATTATTAGAATCATTAAGAGCACTTTTAATCTTATTTCTGACTGTTTTAACAGAATTTTCAGCCGCTCCATTACTTTCAGGATGAAAGGGTGTTGATGTTTCAGGTAATTCAAACCTGCTTAACATGTTTCATAACCTTTTCTCTACTTCTTTACTTACTATTGATTTCATCGGGAATACTTATAACCATTTTGTATAAGCATCCGTGAGAATTAGAAAATTCATACCCCATTCATAGAACCCATAAAGTCCACATGTAGCCTTTCCCAAGGTCTACTAGTCTGAGGCCATGGAGTTAACTTTGACTTACTAGGATTGTTTAACTGATTCTGACAGCTTCTGCATTTTCTAATAGTTTCCTCTACTTCTTGGCCACCATATATAAGATCTTGCTAGACTTTTTGTTTTTACCATGCCTAAATGAGCTTCATGCAATTCTTTTAACATTTTACATCTTAATTTTATGGGTATGACAATTCTGTGCCCCCACAGTAGACATCCATTTTCATCCCACATTTCTTCTCTTCTTTTAAGTATTCTCTCAATTCCTCGTTCACTTTATTCGGCCAACCATATTTGACAAACTTTAAAATTTCCATAATTTCAGTGTCTTCCTTTGAAGCTAACTGAATTTGTTTATTGTCAATGGGCCATTCATCTAAGGTTAAAGTAAAATTTATATAACCTTTATAGTCATATTCGTCTCTTTGTATAATAATTTACTAGATCTACAAAACTTCTTGTTAAGCTATTGCATAGATTTTATCGCGGGCTTTGAGCGCGGCGACCGAATCAAGAAATTCCGTAACGAAAATTAACCTAACACCCTCGAAAATTCGAAAAACCGAAAAATCGAAAAAAATCGTAAAAGAAATTCCATAACGAAAATAAACCTAACACCCCCCACTCCGACCGGCACAGCGGTGCGGCGTTGAAAGCCGTGCATCGTCTAACGTCGTTTCAGTTCGGCAGACTTCGGCACGGTGTTTGTGTGCGTGTGACTAGACGTATGCGTGTAGACTAGCTGTTAACTGCTCATAACTAATTCTATCTCTTTTAGACACAATTTCGGAAAAATTGAATGTGAAAAAGAATAATGATCCACAAGAATCCATAACAAAATATGGGACCACCATTGACGCGGTATTTTCCAGATATTTAGAGGATATCAAATCTCAAACTTGTTTCTTATTTCAGTTACCATAAACCTATAGTTTCAATGATAAAAATTCCTGAATAACCCACATGTATTGTAAGATAATAAAAATATTTTAAACAATATTAACTTCTCATTTATTCAATAAAAGAAAAATATTTGTTTTCTTTTCGGTCACCACGCTCAAAAAGTGTAACTTTAATCAATATCAAAGAAAAAAAAATACTGCATAAATAAATAATTATAATTGCATGAGTAGATAAAAAATGCTATGCAATAGCTTTACCGCGGCAGTCCCAGAGAGCTATACGTATTTTTTCAGTTATTTTTGTTGGTCGGGAAACATTGAAAATAGCTTTTATTTTACTGTCAGTTTTACGTAACCCTTCAGCTGATATACAATGACCTAAATATTCAATTTCAGATTGATGTAAAGAAAAAATTGACACTTTTCTTTACATACAGTTAAACCTGAATCTTTTAATCTATTTAACACAATCTATAAATTTCATCAATATAATTTACAACTTCTAAACCCTGCAAAATTTGCTCTTAAGGTTCTCTGAAAAATGACACTAGCTGGAGCTATACCAAAAGGTAGTCTCTTCATTTTATATAAACCTTTATGAGTAGTTAAAGTCGTAAGCTTTTGTAATTCCTCATCTAATTACAATTGCAAATAAGAATTATTTAAATCAAATTTAGTAAAATTCTTACCTCCGTTTAATCTGGTGAATATTTCATCTATTCTTGGCAGTGGATAACTAACATCTTCCAAGATTTTGTTAAGGGTGGATTTATAATATCCACAAATTCTTATTGTATTAACCGTTTCCAAGATAGGCACTATGGGCGTAGCCCAAGTTGAACTTTCTACAAATTCTATTATGTCATCTTGAAGCATTTTCTCTAGTTGCTCTTCTATTTTGTGTCGAAAGGCAAGAGGTACGGTTCGAGGACGGCAGAAGATTGGTTTAGGACCGATGTCACCGTGTGTTAAACGAAGTTTAAAATGACATTTTTACATTAACATTGTCATTTTAATCTCCGTTTAACACAACGGTGGAATCGACCCTTAGTATTTTCTTTAATACATAAAGATAAACAAAATTTATTTAACTTTCCTATATTATCATTGAAAATCGTTGGAAATTTATTTACTATATCATTTTGAATAGTATTGAAACTATGTCCACAATTTCAGCAAAATTTAAGTCAATTTTAAAATTTTCTAAAAAATCTCTACCTACTAGATTAGGTGCGTTATTTTTATTTACCACATAAATTTTTATTGTTTTTTTTTAACATAATTTAATTTTACTTTGGCTGAAAAATATCCTAATGGTTTTATTTCGGTACCTGTATAACCTCTTAAAATAAAGATCATCTACTATTTTACAGTTTTACAATTTCTGCATTTGTACTTTTTAAACTTACAAATTCCTCTAAGCGAATTACCCACTGATCTGTATTATTTTACTGGATAGGATATAGCCCCCTAAAAAACGTTCCGAAAAATTGGCCGATTTGGGCAAATAATATGGCGGACCGGATGTTATTTAACATAACCTCTATTTCCATTTGTCATTTAATTGTTTCGACAAATTACGATGAGATGTTTTTTTTATATATTTAGGTAGTATCGGATAGCATTATTATGATATAAACAATAAACGTTCATTCGTGAAGACACAATATGTTTCACGTTTCCATTTATATATTTTCTTTTATAAAAAAATCAAATTATTGGTGAATTATCCCGAAGGACATTGCCCGCAGAAGGAATAGAAGAAGAATAAGAAGAAAAACTAATCAAATTATAGGTTAGGTATGTCAAATCCCAAAATTCAGTTCTGTGAACCCACCATAATTTGCCCAAATCGGCCAGCAGTGTTGCACTTCCGGTCTCCTGGGTGGAACGGATTTTTAGTATGTTAAATATAGCCTATATCCTATCCAGTAAAATAATACAGATCAGTGGAATTACCACATACATCACACACAAACGACAAAATCTTTTCTCCCTGTACGTATCGTTTTCGACATATAAGCGAAAAACCCAAAAGTGGGTCATTCTGTGCCCCCCTCCCTTCGGCTCACAACTTTTAGTATGTTAACTCCCCGAAGACCTTGAATAAGTTTCTGAAGAAATCGTTAAGGGACCTGCTCACGCACTCTACACTTCCTTTACTTAGTGGACTAAAATGGTTCCGTAGTTTGTAACATTTTTCTTGAAAACTGGACGAACCTTGGAAATTATCCATTGCTCAGGGACTGTGGAAGTTTTTAGGCATAAGCTAATTAGAACTCTTAAGGGACAGTCTAAAAGATGTGGGTAATCTTGTATGATGAATGCTGAAATACTAGCGCCTGGTAGTCCATTTATTTTTATTTACAGATAAGGAAAGTATAGGAATTATGATTTTTTGAACTTACGGATTTTTACGTTTCGGGGTCCCCTGAATCCGTTTTGACTATTTTCCCGATGATGTCTGTGTGTGTCTGTAAATTTTATTGTTTATCACTAAAAATTTGTTTTTAAAAAGTTTTATTTACAATTTAAATGGATACAATACAATTAAACTTATTGTTTACTAATTACGATCTATACTATACTAAATCTATCATTGTTCTGAACGCCGTGTTTGGGCTCTTCTTCCTTTTATAGGCTTCGTTAATGAGTGGGTCATTAACTTGATGATGCAAATGTTGTAATAATGGCTGGGATGATAACCATATGCAGGTTATCAATTGGTGGCTACATAACTCCTCTCTCCTCAAGCTCGGAAAATAGGGGATTATTTTTAGATTGTGGTTGAATGATTGCCTTTCTCGGACTATTGCGTTTTATTTTCTTCAAATTGGGACGGATATATCTGCAACAGCTAAATATTATTGCAAACATTATAATTGCAATTAGGAACGTCGTGTTGATCTAGCTGCGGTTTCGTGAGGTGAATGTTTCTTGCCAAAGTTTCTAAATGTTTTATTTCTTCCTTATTTACTGCTTTTAATTTAATCGTAGGTATGTTTTTACTTGGAATCGTAAAGTTTAAGTAATTCGAATACTAATTCTTCTTGGATTGTTTCTTCTTTTCTAAATATTTTTCCATTGATATTATGCAATTTTATAGTGAAATCAGCGAGGGTTTTGTTATTCTCTATAGACCATTAGTTTCGCAACTCGTCTGGACATCGATAGGGCTGCAGGAATGACTACAAGTTGGTAGGAATTTATTCGTTGAACATCAGTTTCTGTTATTTGAACTTTAGTGCCATTACACTGGTTTTTGCCATCGTTAATTAAGTTTTTCAAGCAAGGTTGGTTCTTATGTAGATTTTCGTTTTTGCAATAATAATTTATCTTCAATTTCTGGAGTGGTTCAATATTCTTCGTTGTTGAGTAAAAGGAAAGGATACTCAGGTATAGTCATGTAATCATGAATAGGTATGGGATAGATTTGGAAATATTTAAAGGTGTTTGATGTGATATGGATTTTAAAAATTACTAGATTACCTCTGATTGTGACTTGTGTCGATAAAATATTATAATTCATGAAATTTTTCATATAAGGTATTTGTCGGTTTTTGTAAATATTATTTAATTTGCTAAAAACGTTTTTTAATTTTTTAGGCTCGATTATCGAGTTATGTAATATATTTAAATTTGCAAAAGAAATTGCGGTTTCTATATTATTGAATTTTGCGTATT